GTGGGATTTTGGTTTGAACCAGGTTCCTTTGACATTTCATATTTGTAGGTCGCATCCTTTAGTGCCCAGAAGCTCTATTCTTTCGAGCTGCTCAGCCCCTGGAGCAGTGGCAGGGGTTGCAGGCAAGTGGTGTTGGTGCCTGTCGGGAGGAAAGAGGTCTTTGCTGCTTCCTGGCTGCAGTGCCTGTCTCCACTGCCAGGGCCAGTGGGCTGAGGGCACAGGGAGGAGGCTCTATGCTATGCACTTGTAGCTGCCGTAGGTGGGGCTGCCCTCTGGCTGGCCTGGTGCAATGGCAGGGGCAGCTGGTTTGCAAATTGGTGCTGGCCCATGATGAAGCCCCGTAGCCAGCCAGGGGGATGGGGCGCCTGAAGCTCCTGAAAGTTCCCAACCTGCTGGGCAGAGTGCACCCAGACAATTTTGTCCACCTGTCCTTTCTCCTGAGCAGCAAGCTCTGTGCGATCCTTGCCCCTTTAGCAGCGCTCTCACTGTTCAGAAGTCTCTCAGCGTGTCCGCCTTTCTTTTTTCCCAGAGTGGCCAGTTGTGGGTCCCTGTTCCCCTGAAGTGACTGGAATCTCAGTGTCTCCAAGTATTCTGCCCGTGTTAGCTTTCCCGCCCCACTGGTCTCCAGGGCACCATGTAGTGTAGGTTTGTGCTCCCACTGGGTGTTGAGCAGTCCCGGGCCTCCACGTCCTCCCTGCTCCTTTTCTCTTCCTCCTGCCTGTGAGCTGGGGTGGGGGAAGGGCTTGGGTCCCTCTGGATCGCGGCTTTGGTACTTGACCCTTTTCCTTGAGGTCTGCTGGTATCCCCACATGTAGGCATTCTGCCACAGTCTACTTTCCTGTTGCTCTTTCAGGATTAGTTGTATTTGCTGTATTATCCTATTACATGTGGTTTTGGGAGGAGGTTTCTGTCTCACCTGTCACTGCCATCTTTAATCTTCCTCCAGGCTGTGGAACTCACTTTGGTACAGTATTTGTGCTACTTATTATCGGAGAGTACATTTTTTAGACATGAAACCAGTTTTGTGGGGGAAAGTTTGGTTTTCAGTAAAAGTTGTGTGTTTTTTTTTACTGCTTATTAAAGCTTCAGGGTCTTTTTTAGAGATGTCTTGCTAATGTTTGCATATTATCTATAGTTACTGCCTATTTCTATAAAATTGCTATTTCCGCAGCTAAAACAGTGTCACACCCAAAGAGCAGCCGGCCTCCTGTTCCTATCTCCAATGCCACCAAGCGCAGCTTTCTGGGCAGTCCTGCGGCAGCAAGCCAAGCTGACATGCCACCGCCTGAGGGCCCCAGGCACCGCCTGCACCCTGAGGAGGCTGAGCACCCGTGAGTCTCTCTGCTCTTGGGCCCATCGCCCTTTTCCTTTTCTAGACAGTTTATGATTTAATTGACGTTAATCTTCAGAGGTCATAGAAAAGGTACCAAGGAGCAGGGGGTGAGAGCATGTCCTCCTGTGGCCCTGCCCTGGAGGCAGGGGAGGGCAGCACTACATGAATGTAAGGTGTTAAACCTTGAAATTACAGAGTATACCCAGGAGTGTCTGTCCCCTAGTTGCTGTTTTTTGGATATTTATTGTTGGTCTAAAGTCTTGATACTCTTTTAGTTCATAATGATTTTTCCCAAAGTCTTTCTACAAATTTCTATGAATCTTTGATGGCCTGTAGTTTCATTTGCATTTGCTTTTGATTTAAGACTGATAAACTAGTGATTTTTCTCCCTCATTCTTTTCCCATTTAGGGGGAAAGGGGCTTCTGCCTTTAGCCCACCACATCCCTTATTGCCACTAAGGCAGAGACAGCACAAGGTGACACAGGGAGATGACCCCCCCGGTAGGTGTGGTTTCCTGTCTCCCCATCTCTGTTTTTCAGCTGTAGTTCATTAGAACAAGAGCTCTGAAAACCAGATGAACTCTCACTGTGATGTAGCAGTTTTAGTTATGAAGACAATGGCAGAATAGGTTTTAACTTTTATCAGTATATCTTAGAACTTATACTATTTGTAGTGAAAATATTACTGGAATCTAATAAATTATATTCAGGATACAGAAAATTACTGCACTGTACCTATGCAAGAACTTAGATGTTCTAATTCAAATGTTCACTTAAGGTTCTGATTATTTTGTGATTTGGATTGGTTACTATTCGATTACAGTTCCTGAAACTTTGGAAAATTGTATTGTGATTACCTGCTTTCCTTGAGCAGTTTCAGTGTACTGAATCATGATGCATTTCTTAGGAAATGGTTATTGTGTTGAAAGGATTTCAGACGCTATAAAATCGGTCTCTTAATGCCGAACACACTCCTCTCTCCAAATCGCAGATGAGCGGCGGCGATCTAGCTCTCTGACCCGGGTCGGCGGTCGGCCTCGAGGGGCAGCAGTCACGTGGCCAGAAAAAAAGAACAGGTACATTTCAAATGGATTTTTCTCTGGAAGAGAAACTTATTTGTCAGAATGAACCAGCTGTTCTTCAGAAGTGGCCCGAGGACCCCGGCGGCTCTCTGAGAGCTCTGGGGACTCCACGAGGCCAGAATCACTCCCAGCAAGCCGAGGTTGCTCTCCGCCTCCCACCCGCAGTCCCCACCAGGGAACGGTAACAGGGACGTGTGGGGTCGTGGCAGACTGAGTCAGAATCAGATAGAGAGATGTGCGATAGTGTGAACTACAGCCGTTTTTCACACTAGAAACTTTTTAGTTTTAGAAAGTATGATGAGTTTTCACATAATAGTTTTCATTGTTGTGGTTTTTTATCAGTGTTTTAAAAATGTCTCAGCCTTAATTTCTAGTAATATGTATTGGTTAATATCATATCAATAGATAAAATGAATAAAAGCTCTTTGGGTCCTCAGTCATCTTTAAGGGTGGAAAGGGACCCTGGAACCAAAGTGTTTGAGAATCTCTAAAATGAAGTCTAAGGTTCTTTTTTGCCTGGGACGGGCTTATGGCATCTCCTGAGTTGAGGAGCCATGTTCTCTTTTAGTAACGGGTACTCATCACTCCCCACACTGCAGGCCAGTGTCGCAGCCGGCCCCCTTTGCCCTCCATCACGCTGCAAGCTGTGACATGGACCCCGGCTCTGGTGACAGCATCAGCTTGGCTCGCTCCATCAGCAAGGATAGTCTGGCATCCAATGTCATTAGCCTGACCCCACAGAACCAGCCGCACCCCACAGCCTTGAAGACCAATGGGAAATCCCTCCTGAACAACGTTGATATGGAAGACGAGGATGAAGAGCTTGTGGCCATCATTAGGACGGATGTGGACCCCCACGGCAGTGACCCGGGCCTGTCAGTGATCACCAGGTCTCCCCAGAGAGTGGCGGACACCCTTGAAAGTAAGCCTGACAGTTTCTTCCTGGAGCCGCTGATGCCAGCCGTGCTTAAGCCAGCCAAGGAGAAGCGGGCAGTCACCAAGGAGGACGAGTGCGGGGAGGGGCGGCCGAGGGGCTTCACGTCCCGGAGGCCCAGCGAGGGCCGTCCCCCTCCAGTGCGGACAAGGGCGCCCAGCAGCCACGTCAGTCGCGACTTGAACAGGACTTTCACCCCCATCTCTTCTGTAGAACTTTCTGCGGGCTCAGAGCCTGCACCCACTGAGGCAGGGCTGCAGGCGGCAGGGGAAACCCGAGGTGGGCCTCTGGACAGCGGTGGTTTTGAAGCGGTATCTCAGGGACAGTCTGCTGATGGCTTCTTTCTTCACGTAGTCAGAGCCGACGAAGACCCAGAAGGCAGGTTCTGTGTTAGCTGCGCCCATGACCCTGAGCCGTGGATGGGCCTGAGGCAGGACTCTGACTCCGACATCGCAGATCTAGAGGATGCCGAGCAGGAGCTAACTGGCGAGGACTATCCTGTGGTGATCGCCAGGTACGCTGGTGAGGAGGAGTCGGCAAAGCTGCAGGAGGACATGAAGGTAAAAGAACACGAGGACAAGGATGATGCCAGTGGCCGCTCGAGCCCCTGTCTGAGCACCGTCTCTCAGATCAGCAGTGTGTCCATGGCGAGCGGCAGTGTGAAGATGACCAGCTTTGCGGAGCGGAAGCTGCAGAGGCTCAACAGCTGTGAGACCAAGTCCAGTACAAGCAGCTCCCAGAAGACCACACCCGATGCCTCAGAGAGCTGCCCAGCCCCCCTGACGACATGGAAGCAGAGGAGGGAGCAGAGCCCCAGCAGGCCGAGCAGGGACCATGCCAGCCTGTTGGCCTCCGAGCTGCTGCAGCTCCACATGCAGCTGGAGGAGAAGCGCAGGGCTATTGAGGCGCAGAAGAAGAAGATGGAGGCCCTGTCTGCCCGGCAGCGGCTGAAGCTGGGGAAGGCTGCCTTCCTGCATGTGGTCAAGAAGGGGAAGGCTGATGGCCCCCAGCCACTGAAAGCAGAACACTTTGGTGGAGAGTATTGTCAGCACAATGGCCAGGACTTCGATAGAGGTGTTTCCAAAGCAGAAGGATTTCTTGCTAAAGAAGAGGGGAGAGAAGACCTGGAGTCTCCAGATGTGGACCGAGAAAGCCTGGCTTTTGTTCAGCTGCATAAGCCGAGGGACCCTGCTGCCCTCCATGAACTGGAGAAGAGCAAGGCCCTTTCTGCTGCTTTCCTGGAGGATGGCGCCAGTGAGGTGGTGGACGTGAGCGAGTGTGACCTCTCCATTGAGAAGCTTAACGAGACCATCAGCACACTGCAGCAGGCCATCCTCAAGATTTCTCAGCAGCAAGAGCAGCTGCTTATGAAATCACCTACCATACCAACGCCAGGTTCTAAAAATAACTCCCAGGACCAGAAGGTCAAGGCGTCCATCCACTTTGTGGAGCCACTCTCTCCCCCTGGAATGCCTGGTCACCGAAGACCACCTCGTCTTGGTCAGGGTCGGACTTGCCGTTCAGGAAGACCAGCTGAGCTGAAGGTTCCAAGAGACAGGCAGCAGGGTTCCTCCCGGAGCAAGACTCCAACACCCAATGCAGAGACCCTCCCGCACTTGCGGCCTTTCCCCCCTCAGACCCAGCCCTCCGACCCAGGCTGGAACGGTGCTGGTGGCCCTGGAAGTGACCCTTATGAGAAGGGCTGCCTCCACAGTTACAAGCTCCATGACGAGAGCGGCCAGCGGACACTTGCCCTATCTTCTCCCAAAGATGCAAACATCCTCTCAGAACAGATGAGCTCCAAGGAGGGGCTAGATAACAGTGTGACAGAGGCAGGGCACAGCTCCCCCGAGGCCTCAGGGAAGGAGGACGGCCCCGTGGATGAGACCCCGAGAAGCAAGGCCAGCCTCATCGAGGTGGACCTCTCAGACCTGCGGGCCCCGGACGAGGACGGGGAGGCGGGAGGCCCTGGGAGCGCGGCAGAGCTTGCCGTTGAAGGTGACCAGAAACCAGGCGTCGGGTTCTTCTTCAAGGTAAACTGCTGGTAGCATTGCGTCAGGTGATTGTCCAGTGCCATCACATCCCCTTAGTTGTGAGGGTATGCAAGGAGCTTAAATGCAGACGAGGGCTGGCACACCTTTTCTGTACAGGGCAGAGGGCTACTGTGTGCAGCCTGGCGGCGTGTAGTCTCTGTCACGAGGACTTGACTCCTCCAAAAGTGGCCCCGGGCAACACCTGCTCGCGTGGGCAAGCATGTGCCAACAGAATTTAACTTACGGGCTGAAATGTGAATTTCATGTGGTTCTCATCTGTCATGAAATGTTTCTTTTTGATGGTTTGCCAACCATTCAGAGATGTAAAAAACTTTCTTAGCTCACAGGCAACTTTCTTAGCTCGCAGGCTTCACAAAAACAGGTGGGCTGGATTTGGCCTTTGGGCCAAAGTCAGAGTCTGGGCAGATATAGACACTTTACCTAAGAAACATTTTTGCTTCTGTCTGCCTTCCCTGTAATTTTTTTTCTTAGGGAAAAGAGAGAAATAAATTGTGGGAACTTCTGTGTAATAGTGTCTTTCCTCTTGGCAATTATGAAGGTGGATGACTCATGGGATCATATTAAGATTTATCAAAAGATGAATGTTTTGTTTGGTGTTTGTACTTTTAAAATGTACATAAAGGAATCTGGGTTATTAGCTCAGATTAAGGCAAACTGAATTCAGTATGAGACACTGGAAAGTTGATAGACTTTGTGAATGGTGTGGTTTTTTCCATTTGTATTTTACTGTCTAGAAAGATGTGTTATTAGTCAAAAAAAGAGTAAGACATCTTCATACTGTGTGTTGCAACTCAGCCTATGTGACGGTGCTGTTTGGGGGACCAGCACCGTGGGTGATGTGGGGGCTGTGTCCAGCATCCCATGTGACGTCTGTCTGTAGGATGAACAGAAGGCAGAAGACGAGCTCGCCAAGAAGCGGGCAGCCTTCCTCCTGAAGCAGCAGCGCAAGGCCGAGGAGGCGCGAGTGCGGAAGCAGCAGCTGGAGGCCGAAGTTGAGCTCAAGAGGGATGAGGCTCGGTGAGCTGGCTCCCGCCTCCCCGCCTGCTCTGCGTCAGGGAGGGGGGACCAGGCTGATGGTCAGGGCTGGTGGCGCCAGCTCACACCCACTGCCCTGCAGGGCACTGTCCCACCATCGCCAGCATGTGGGCCAGGCTTGGTTTCAGCACATCCCTTGGGTCCTCTCCTTCGACCCCCACGCCTGCCTGGGAGCTGTGGAGCTGTCCTTTACCCGGCTCATGCCATGTGAGCTGTGCACAGAGGGTCCACAGCCTTGCTGTGGGGCTGGGCTTTAGCACTGGGGGTAGACCCTGGGCCTGCCCTGTCCCCCACACCACACTGCTCCTCAGCCCCCACGCCAGTGCACAAGGCAGTGCTCGGCCCACTCTCCAGATGAGGCCCTCCACCCAGCACCGTCTGGAGCATGTTTGTCTCTCAGGCGTAAAGCCGAAGAGGATCGCGTCCGGAAGGAGGAGGAGAAGGCGAGGCGGGAGCTCATCAAGCAGGAGTATCTGCGGAGGAAGCAGCGGCAGCTTCTAGAGGAGCAGGGCCTGGGCAGACCCAGGGCAAAGCCGAGAAGGCCGCGGCCCAAGTCGGCTCACCGGGAGGAGTGCAGCGACGTGGGGACCAAGAGCTCCTCCACCCGTAAGCAGGCTCGGCTGCTGGGTCACGCCCGGGTGCCCTCTGCCCCATGAGAAGCTGCATAAATAACTGGGGAATGGGCACATCTCACCAGAGCTGTTTTGTTTCCAGCAGCGGATCACTTGAGCCGGGCCCAGTCGGGCTCCAGCCTGTCGCTGGCTTCTGCAACAACAACAGAGCCCGAGAGCGTTCCCTCGGGGGGCACGCCTTCCCGGCGGTAAGGGGTTGGGGTGCTGCTTGGAAAGGCATGGGGCTTTCAGCTTGAAACCTGTCCCGGGGGCGGTTTTGTGGCTTGGACTTGGTGTGGAACCAAGAGGGATGAGGCTCCCAGAGCAGCTACGGTGCCTCCCCAGGAGCTCCCAGGAGCCCTCTGCTGGGACCCTGCTGGCTAAGCCCTGTCATGTTTG